AAAGACGGTGCTAAGTTGTCACCGTCGACTTTAATTAACTGAAGTGGAAGAACACGTCCCTCGTAAGCGATGACGAAGGACATGTATCATTCCAAAAATCGTCAGCAGGAAAGGGAAGACGCCAAACCGCCATCAAAATCAAATAAATGAAGTCGCATCCGGTCACAGCCAGGTAAAAGTCCAAATCCGGGTAAAAAATGTCACATCCGGTGAGAAAACCTTGATGATTTATTTCTTCCAAAAGAAGAAGAACTTCTTCCACCGAGGCTTCTTTTTCCTCTTTTTCAGGATCGATTTACACTCCTCTTGCAGTCCTTGCTCGCGTGCCTGTCTCTGCACCGACCATTCCGGAACTTCTGGATATCTCTGTTCCAGGTAATCGATGACAGACGACGTGCTCTCATCGGGAATGGTGACAATCACCCGTTTCTTGTCGGGTTGAGCAGATTTCTCCTTCGCACCCTCCAGCACTTCTTTCGGACGCACTCGAATCATTCGAATCGAAGAGGAAGACGTTCCTGATGTCGAGGAGCTATCCTCTGCACTCTCTCCTCCAGAGGTATTCCATTTCTTCAACGCTTTGAAATTATCCATTCTGCAAACAAAAAGAAAAAAAACGAGAGTTAAATTAAGACAATATTACCAAATGAAATAAAAATTTAATAATATACAAGGTATATAAGAATAGAAAATTAAAGAAAAAGTTCGTTTTAATTATAAGAAAAATTTTAGTCACAAATGAATATAAAGTTGTAATGGAACTATAAACGTTGTCAAAAACATTAAAATTATTCATTCAATTATTATGTGTAATAATTAAATATATTATAATAATAACAGTTCTATGGTTTATAAAAGTTATGCTATTCTGTTGATTGTCATTAAAATTAATGAAAACATTGTAGAAAAAATTAAGATTAACAAAATGACGAATAAATTACTTTATTCTAATTCATTAATTAGAATAAAGTAATAAAGTTTAGGTTAATTATAGCAGTACGAATATCATATGGGATATAATGTGTATGCATAACACAAAATTATAACGAGAAATGACAAAATTTATTATTTGACTTTGCTTTAATAATTCGGTTCGATTGACGAAAATTAACAATGAAAAGATTGAATGCACTTCCCAAAAATAAGTCAAAGACTCGATTCTTCTCATTGAAGCAACCACACAACGATTGTTATCGTAATATTCGTTCTGGGAAAATTATCACTGCTAATTGTAATTTTCCACTTAACAATGTTAAAAAATACCTAAATATAGAAAGATCAGGGACTAAGCTTACCCAAACAATATCTTCAACTAGAGTAAAACTCAGAAAACACTCGAAACAAATCATTAAATCGCATTCGAGCAAAGCAAAAGACAATTGTCGAAATTCTATTGTTGTGTCGCGACTCAGTTTGATGTTAAAAATTTAGATTTTTTGACAGGATTTCGGGGTTTCCGCGTCTGTCTTTCTATAGAGACAAATCATTCTGCTTTTTGTCTGTAGTCTTTCACTCATCCCCACTGAGACGAGGTAGAATCTATTTTGTCACAGTTAGGATGTTCTCATAAAGCAAGTTCTGAATACGATTCGACGTGGAACAACGGTAAAAATCATCTAGAACTGTTGTTTTTTTATATTGTTGTTGGGCTGCAAGTTGAAAAAAATATTGTAGATGTATGAATGCCCACTGTGTGGCCTCCCTTAATCTCGAGAACGCAGTTAATTAAATGAAAGTTGAGATCAGATATGGAAAGATTAGGGGCAGGAGGTCCCCGATTAACGTTATACATGAACTTCTGATGCAAGACAGAAGTATTTCAATTCAAAACTTTTTTTCTGAAAGGAGTTAAATAGATGACAGGCACGACTCTATTGTTACAGGAAAAGTATGATGTACTGTACAGAACAGTACTAATTGAAGGTGGAGAGCATATATTTTAAATTAAATAATTTTAAATATGATTAAAAGTTGATTGGTGTATGTGTAAATTTATATCTTTATCTATAGTTGTTTAAATATTATAAAGATTACGTGAGAATCAGAACGGGAATTATGCATTTAAAATTGGAGTTTTGTCCATAGATCCAAATTTATGTTATATTTAGATCGAGAATCGCTCCTATAACGGAGACTCTACGTCATTTCTTTCATTTTTCAATGGCGAAAACGACGATATAATTCCTACTAAATTAAAAAGTGATATTTTCCTTTTCAATTTTGTTAATAAATTAGTGTGAGAAGTAAATTTCTTCCACATGTTTACGCTAAAGGAAACGCCTTGACACTTTTATGACAAAAAGGGAAATTAACTTTCCTTCTTACAATCATGGGCGTAGCCAGAGTTTTGTTATGGGGAGGCCTAGTGGAGGCCAACCTAACACAAAATTGAATTATTTCAAATTATTGTTCATTATTGGGCACCGAGCAAGCCGTTCACCTTTTTTTAGTATTCAAAACTTTTATTTTAGATTTAGGTTTTTACAAATCGACTCAACACTTTTTCGGCTGTGATTTCCTGGGGGGGCACCAGGTTTCCTGGGAGGGGACGTGCCCACCCAGGCTCCCCCCTCGCTACGCCCATGCTTACAATCCTTATCTCCCAAGTTTAACATCCATCTGGCCGTCCACCCCCTCTACACATCCCCGAACATCCCGTTTATGTACGCAAAATTCTACGATTTTATTGGTCTAAAATTCGGAATAAAAAGGGCCATTCGAGGAGTTCTCTGAAGATTTTGTTAGACTCCACAACCAAGTCTCGCTCTTGAAGATGTTTTTACATGTGCGCCGTTGCTTCTGACAAGATCCTCTAACTTCCACCGAGAACCGTCTCGCTGAACAAGTTTAAAGTCAAGTTAAACAGACGAGGTAGTATATCGCCTAATTTTGTAAGCTCTTCTCTATAGACAGGGAATAGCCATCTTTGATTCGACTGTAACTTTTCTTACATTTTGTTCTTATTAAGTTTTGTTTTTGTTATTCAATCATGGTCTCGTCTCTAAGCTCAATTCCAAGCTGAAATCCTATCTCTTATCCACCGTCCCTCTCACTCGAAAGAGTTATCTAATTTAACCAAATTTTAAGGTAAAGTACTGACTTCAGTAGGATTTCAGCTAAAAACATTTATACATCATAGAAGATTTTTAATCTATTAATAGTTAAAATAATTTCTCCTAATCTTATCTTAAGACATACTTTGCAGCTAGGTTAAATTGCCAGTAAACACAGGGTATTGTGCTGACTTTAGCCGGTTGTATGATCCAAAACTGCTGCATATCTGTATGATATGGTGATGTTGGAGAATTCTTTGTCACTTCTCGATTAGAGCAGTCACGTGCTCCGCTAATTGTTTTGGTCAGTGCATTATCTGTATCTATTTTGAACTTGTTTGTTAATGTCGGATTCCAAAACCTTCGATAAAGGGACAGAAAATAAGCTCGTTTTCTACACTATATTTTCTAGCCACTTTATTACCAGGAAAGTCACGCAACTCGTCGCTGGATTTTTTAATCACCATTTTTTTTTTAAACACAAACCTGAATTTTTGTTAAATAAATTGATTCTAAGCATTATTAAGTCAATGTTCGATAATTATTTTATTAAAAAATTGACTACTCCGTTATATACAATAAAAAACTTTCAGACAAACTTAATAATAACTTCTAAAATTAACGATTAAATCGGAGACGTTGCAAATGGCACTTCGTTATTTTAATCAAATGTAAAAAAACTGAAAAAAGTTTATCTATCTCAGGCATTATTATCATCAGTTGTATGTAAGTAATTAATAAAACAAATAAAGGTAAAAATCACTCATTACATTAGTTTAAATTTGATACAGAGAATTTGTGAATAATATTAACATTAAGTGAAATAAAAATGAAAACCACTTCGATGAAGATTTAAACAGGTATTCTCAATTCCAGAGGATCGCTCGTGGACCTTTCTTTTCTTCTCTCTCTATATGCCCTGTAGCATTAATACGCGCTTTTTATCAACCTTACCGTTAATTGGAATATGCCCAATCCAGGACGGTCGAGTGCCGAAAAACGCAAACCTTAACATTCGCGCGAAGGACAACCCTCGAAAAATTCTGGGGTTTTTCGGATCTCCCAGAACGATAGGCAGACTTTAACCGGGTGTCGTATCACTCAGGTCGAGAAAACGTGATTTTATTGGGTAAGAAACTCACAACAATTTAAAAATAATTCATTATGCAATTGAACCTGTCTATCTCAAATATGTTTATCTCGAAATATATTTTTTCACTTGCATTTACGGCCTAAATTCAATATATTTTCCATGTTTATCTCAAATAATTTCATCCCAAAACCTCTATATAGGCGGAATCTTTTCCACCTTCGTCCACTGTACACACGTTCATCTGTACAATGTCGATAATGACTTAAGAGTTAAATTACTTTATCAAATTTTATATTGTTAAACAATCTTTTAAATAAAACAAACACAAGAACTTCTATTTAAAAGTAAAAAAAAAATGTGTGTATTTATATTATGTCCTTCATTCTAATTACGAATAATAAAACTATATCAAGATTTATTAACGAATTTTTGTAGAAAATATAGAAAATAATTTTGCGTCACACGGAGTATAAAAATCACAAATTCACTTTAATAAAATTTAAATACAAAAATAAATATTTATTCTTTTAATAAAACAATTTAGTTTTATAATTTATGCTATGCATACTGAGTAATATCCGTATTGTCCGCTAACCAACGCAAATAATTAACAACCCTCGTATACACTCCTGGATAACCGGGTTCTGCACATTTATAACCGAATGACACGATACCCACCAGCATCCATTTCCCTCCATCTTCTAAAACTAGAGGACCACCCGAATCACCCTGAAATATACATTTAGAATTTAAGAATACATACGATAATTCTCACATAAATTATTTTCCTATTGGTTACACATTACCTGACAAGAATCTTTTCCACCTTCGTCCACTCCAGCACATATCATCTTCTCAGTTATTCCTCTGGATATGGTGGGAAGAATGGTTCGTCCGTAAGCATTCTGGCATTTGCTATTTGGAACTACGGGCACTCTGACTTCACGTAGTATCGAACTCGGAAATCCCGCTTTAGTTTATTTAAATTAATTTTAGACATTAGCAGTACCATCATCTTATGTTCTGTGTATCGTAAACACTTACCAAACGAAGTCAAACCCCAACCGGCTACAGTAACATCTCTGCCTACTAGGCTATCTCCGTAGAGTCTAGGCGATGGCAAACATATAGGTGCCACTCTACCATTCAGATTTATCTCTTCGGTCACTTCTAAAACGGCTATATCGTCGTAAAACTCTCCTCTCCTGTAATTTTCGTGTTGGTATACGTTTAGCAGGTCATGTCTTATACCTTGGCCAGCTATATGGCTTCCAACTCTTACAAAATAATTTGTAGTTAAGCTGGAAGCAAAAATAAAAATGTCGTGAATTTTGAAAGACGGGAAAATATTTATATTATTCTTTAAATTTTACCCAAAATCGAAACAATGAGCGGCTGAAAGAATATAATAGGAAGTGATTACGCTTCCACCGCAGAAGAATCTGTCTTGTCTTCCAGGCATTTGAAAAAATACTTGAGCCTGTAAATAATTAAAGTCAAAATATTGTATAAAATGAATAAAATTATTATATTATAGTATAACTAGGGAGTATTTCAGTAATTAAGCTTTAATTTAATCTCTAAAAATCTTAATCCAGTCCTGAATGAACCATACTAAAGTACCACATGAAAGCCCACATTATATGGCACGCCCAGAGGGGACCAAAGGAATCTGGTGGCATCCAAAGAAAAAGGAAAACCTTTTTGTGCATGTTACACACTTTGCAGAAATTTTTACTCTATGAGATATTTATTTTAAGAGACTGAACTTTTAACTTATTATGTATTTATAATCTAATGTCTTGCTGAATTCTTCGATATATTTTCTAAAATTGTTTAAACTGTAATAAGCGGTACCTTAAATAAGAAGCGATTCAACGGTGTCATCTCACGTCCATCGTGTCATAACACCCACGATGGGCGAAACAGAAAAGGCCCTGTTAGTGTCCACAAGGCAGAAAGAGTAAAATAAAATTCATGCCGCTGAAGCGAAAAAAATTACTTAAAATATTAACCACTTGGGCGAATTTTTTTATATTTATACGGTAAATTACCGTAAATGTATTAAATCGAGCGTAATTATCCGAATCATAAGTTTATGCTAATTAGCACAGCAATTAATAATCTTAAATAAATAGATTATGTCAAAAACCAACCATCCATGGCCAGTCTTGTTTACTTAAACTTCCGGCGGGTACTCCACCAACAATTCTTGTATTTTTTGCATTTTTAACATCAAAATCTTCGCCACAACCTTCAAGTAAAAAATTTCGAGAATTAAAAATCATTTCAAGAAGACGAAAAAAGCCAAGTTCTTTAGATCCTTACCGACTTGTCGAAAATGGGGTACATCGGCGTTTCTCCTCGAGAGTTTTTCTTGAATGCAACATACGTGGGGTGAGCCATGAAACCAGTAGCAAACAGTACCCGTATCGATTCTCCCTTCGCACATTGTCACGTGTCGACAAGTGCCATTTTCTCCCCAAGACGTTCGACATCTTCCATCATGGTGACTGCGATACTGTTTCGTTTCTAACACTTTTATAATTGCTTAAAAAGCAAAATTTCTTCGTGAAAACTTATATATTATATTAATTAGACTTCTAAAGTCATAAAAAAATCGTGATATACGCACGATTGACGATATACAAAAAGGAAAATTTATATTTACCTGTCACTAGAAGCAGGAAATGGACGAGACCTATCGACACAACAACCTTCATCTTTCAAGATTACGATCTGGAACCGAAAAGAAAGTTTCTTTAAGTTAAACATAGAAAAAAAAATTAAATTAGAACTTATAATTTCCCTTTCATAATTCAGCTGCATTCAAATTATTAAATTTTTGTACGGTTGAATGGTTAAATAATCTTCTAATATACAAGAAAAAAAAAACTTAATTATGTAAAAAGTATTATGAATTTAATACAAAATACGAAACAGGAAATTAAAAATGCATTGTGATTTAAATTTTTTCGTTGATCGAATTGGATTCCACACACCTTATTAGACTTGGAATAAGACTTTTTTGTAATCAAATTTTGTCTTTTGTATCTTCGTCATTCCAATCAACGATCCTCTTAAACATGTTTTAAATTCTTCAATCGGATGAAAACTAGAGTTATATTTCGAGTAATCGAATTGTAATTATTGTTAATCGCGGTTAAGCAACGCTTAAAGGTCCATGGTATAAGGAGTCCAAATTAGGCCGTGGGCAGTGGCGCATTATAGCTTCGTGAGGCCCAGACAAATTTGAATTAGGGGACCCCCCAATGTACACTGTTGACCTCAGACATTTTTCTTTCGGGAGAATTATTTTGGGAAAAGTATTTTTTCTTAAAAGAAATTGGTTGCTGGTGCGAGCAATTGCCCTTTTTGCCCATAGGATAATGCGCCATTGAACTTAGGTACTGTACATTATATACTGTTAGTTTATCAGGTTATATTAGGTACTGTATATATATATATATACAGTATTTCTTACATAATTGAAAACTTCTTATATTTTTTTTGTGTTTGTTTTAACTAAGAACGATTTGTTTTAGATCATTTTTAGTTTGTTGTTTGCAAAGTTGCAAAACGATAAGTATAACTCTGTCTCAAACTTCTTTGAAAGAACAACGTGGCCTCATTGTAATTAGTCGATGAGGAAGAATATATTGTCTAACATCACTTATACAAGGTATATTTAACAAAAATAATAGAGAGGTTGCGGCCGAAGTTTTCAACTCTCAAGCGTGAACACGGAACGTCGAGCGCCGCTATCTTATAAGCGGCGCTCGACGTTCGACGTTCACGTTTGAGAGATGAAAACTTCGGCCGCAACCTCGCTAATATAAATTTGAAATTTTAATTTGGCTATTATCAAAAATTGAAGAAAGTTTACATAAATTACTTTGCCAAATTAAAATTTCAAGATGAGCAAAGAATTTAAAAAAACCTTGCTTTGATTGGCAATTTATTATTTCTAAAAGTAAAAAACATCTCTATTTTTTTACTTTTAGAAAACTTTTACTTTTTACATTTAACTAATAATATAAATATAAGTGTAAACTAAGAGAAAATTCAAATATTATGTTATTTATTGTATTATTGGAGTGTCATTTAATACCTCTTGTAACAGGATGATAAGTACGAAGGTTGAAATAAAAACATAATTTAGTGGCATACATTTATATTATTTATCTCATTAATTCAATTATTTAAACAAAATACTTGCTGTAAACCTTACACCATTGCTGCAATTATTTTTGTAAGTGAAGTTTGTAAATTTTTTAATCTTTATTTTATTTTTTTTNTGTAACAGAATGCTCGTAGCATTTTCTTACATCTTCGTATTTAATTCATGTTCTAATGTTTCATGAAATCTATAAAGAGATCAGACATAAATACCTTAGGGTTGGGAGGCCCCGATTAACTATACACGACTTCCGATGCAAATCGGAAGTTACGTTATTTCAATTCAAAATGTTTCCCGAATGGTGTTAGATCCTATTGCCGGCACGACTTTATCGTTAAAGGAAAAATATAATGAACAGGGGCAAGTCACTACTAATTTGAGGTGGAGAGAATATACTTTAAATTAAATATATTTAAAATACGATTAAAAATTACATCCCGGAATGACGATGTCACGATATATAATTGCTCGTTTTATTTTTACTATCAGGCACCGATCAAAAAATAATCCTGAACATTTTAATATTATTGGACTCAGGGAATCTTGAAACGTCGAGAAATGTAAAATAAATTGGGGTTTTCTGAATATATGAATGCTAGTGTGTATGTATGGAGCACGATTTTGTTCACCCTGTTTGAAGTCTAATAACTCCTTTACTTTTTGTATAAAATTTCTGATATTTTGCAAGGTTTATATATTAGGGAGATTGATGCTGTTAAATTTTGGTGATTAAAGGTCGAGGGGGTCGAGGGATAATGGGGGTAGTGTGTCATATTACGAGTAGGGTAGGATTTTACTCGTTACTAGCATTTACAAATTTTCTTTTTTTTTTTTTTTTTTTCATTTCTTTTTTCTTACTTAAACGTTCTTTTTTATATTCTTTTCATGTCAAAGATTTCAACAAATATTGTCGAAAGTCTTTCGTTGAAATTTTGATTCGTTTTGATTCCTCTTCTCGCAATTTACGTTTCTTCTTATGTCTCTTCCTTTCCGGTAAAGTAAAGTTTATTTACTGAATAGAGGGAAATGTCATGGATAATTCAGGTAAATTTCCTCAAATTTAGCATATATATCCTCAAATTTAATATCAATTTTAGGGAGTTATTGTGGGTTTAGGGAATTTCTATGTATAGGCAATTTTAGCGGAATTTTCTGTCGAGGTATTTCAATTTTACGAGACTATTAGGGTTTCGTGATTTTTAAGGGAATTTTATTTTGAGAGATTTTAATTTTTAGGGAATTGTTTAGTCCAAATTTAAATTTATTATTTTAATTTTAGGAAGTATTTTTTCCAGACCAATCAAAGAAAATTCCCTAAATTTGAAGTTTACTGTAAACTTGAAAGATTCAGAAAATATATGTGGTTATGCGTATCGAAATATAAATTCCCAACTTAGGAAATATTCTCTAAAACTGTGATAAAACCCTTGATTTGGAAAATATCCCTAAATCTACGATGAAAATACCTAATTCATGCAACATAATTTTTGGAATAATTTTATAAATTTTTCGATCTTCTCAAAATAAAATTTTTCGGTTATGTTACTAATTATACTTGCACTTATTAGTAAAATTTAATTAATAATGTATTAACAAGTAAATTAAATTTACAAACAATTTTAATTTTATTATCTATAGTTAATATAATTTTGAAGAGTTTCTCTTTGTAACACCGTTTCAAGAA